TTAACTCTCTTTCTAGTTGCTCCTGAAATATTTTCTTAGTTTGATTATCATTAAGTAAAACCCTAAGAGGCTTTCTTACAGTGTCTTTCCTACGTCCAGTAAGCCTCAAACAGATACGCGCTCGCACTAAAGCATGATCTGAATCCAAACATGTGCCCTAGAACGAGCGACAGTCTTCTATCGTACCCCTCCATCGATGGCTGATGGCGATGTGGTCTAGTTGAGTCCAACATTGAGACGACTTTGGGGGTCGCCAGGTCAACAGATGCTTTTCCTTATGCCTAAAGTTGGTGTTCGTTAAGAATAGGCGGTTATCTGAGCATAGTTGCAACAGACGGTCGCCATTGTCTGTTCTCTGAGCCACGACACCATAACATCCACCTAGATGTCTTTCCTTTTCACCTAGTCTACCTGCTTGCGCATTAAAGTCACCAGCCATTATTACTATATCAGAGCGCCTAGCTTTTTGGAGGAGGTCCGAAAGCTTTCTGTAAAACTCATCTTTCACCTCGTCTGCACTGCAGTCAGTGGGGGCATAGGCAGATATGACGAAGAGGCAACGGCGAGTGTCCCTACCCTTACGAGTCCTTACTGTCCCGTTTAGTCGGACAGCGCACAAACGACTATCTACTGGGATCCAGTCTAGGAGAGATAATTCTGCCCTAGGACTCAATGCTATGCCTACGCCAGCAAGACCCCTGGAAGCAGCATCAGGGCTACCGGATACGCGAAGAGTAAGTCGTGCTGCTTCTTCGTTTTGACAAGGTGGAATCAGGTTAATGTTTTTACTAGGATCCTGTATGCACGTTTCCGAGACGCAGCATACATCGATGGCACGAGTTTCTAAAGTCCTAGGTAATGATGCCTGTTGCCCTATTTGACACAATATCCGTACATTAAGAGCTCCAACATGTAGTCTAGGACGGGGTTTCAAGAGACCAGGAACGACGTTTCGTGATCTCGCTTCGTCTGCATTAGCGGTGCAGTGAGAAAAGGGAGTGTGAGTAGAGTTCGTTGTGGAGATAAGAGAGGTATGTGTGGGTGTAGGGAGGATTTGATTTTGACCAGATTGGTCTCTCGTGCTGTTACGGGTATGTGTATGTGGTAGTCCTGATGCTGCTTCTTAGGTTCTCGCTAGTGAAGGTGTAGCATTGAGTCGTAGGTTAGAACTAGCTCTCCCAGACTCGATACCAGTAGATAGTCGTTTGTGCGCTGTCCGACTAAACGGGACAGTAAGGACTCGTAAGGGTAGGGACACTCGCCGTTGCCTCTTCGTCATATCTGCCTATGCCCCCACTGACTGCAGTGCAGACGAGGTGAAAGATGAGTTTTACAGAAAGCTTTCGGACCTCCTCCGAAAAGCTAGGCGCTCTGATATAGTAATAATGGCTGGTGACTTTAATGCGCAAGCAGGTAGACTAGGTGAAAAGGAAAGACATCTAGGCGGATGTTATGTTGTCGTGGCTCAGAGAACAGACAATGGCGACCGTCTGTTGCAACTTTGTTCAGATAACCAACTATTCCTAGCAAACTAACTTTAAGCATAAGGAAAAGCATCTTTTGACCTGGCGACCCCCAAAGTCGTCTCAATGTTGGACCCAACCAGATCACATCGCCATCAGCCATCGATGGAGGGGTTCGATATAGGACTGTCGCTCGTTCTAGGGCACATGTTTAGATTTAGATCATGCTCTAGTGCGAGCGCGTATCTGTTTGAGGCTTACTGGACGTAGGAAAGACACCGCAAGGAAGCCTCTTAGGGTTTTACTTAGTGATAACACAGCTAATTATATATTTCACGAGCAACTACAGAGTTAGGCAACCATGTAGATGATTCGCATCCGGAAGCTGGATATTATTATATCAATGCGACCGAGGAAACGGCAGTGATATCTGCTAGCAAGGTAAACCATGATGTTAACCATAAGGCTAGGATGAAGCCGTGGATATCAGGAGCACCTACCGAACTGATGGATGCTCGAAAACATATCCCACCTGTCTCTGAACATGATGAAGGGTAAAGTCAGCTTAGGTGCAGGCTGATAAAAAGCCTACGTAACGACCGCGAACAGTGGTGGGTGGCGAAAGCGAAATTGATGGAAAAGGTAGCAGCGATAGACAACAGTAGACAACTTTTCTGCCCTATCAAGGATATCGGTATTAGGAATCCATCTGTTAGCGAGACTATCTCAGAAAAGGATGGTTGTATCATTCATTCTCAATCCAGGAGATTGGATCGATGGGCAGAACACTTTAGGGATCAGTTCAAATGGCCTTCAGCCTCATTTACTTTGCCCACGATCTCCAGTCATCCTGAATGGCAAGTCGACGTAAGCCCTCCGAACCTTTATGAAGTTGAGAAAGCTATAGCAAATCTAAAGCGAGGTAGAGCAGCAGGTTCTGATAGGCTAACTCCTGAGATGTTTAAGGATTGTGGTCCAGTTTTAGCAGCTAGATTGACTGAGATCTTAGGTAGAGTCTGGGAACTGGTCGTAATGCCATCTGACTGGTTTCAATCACTGATTTTCCCAGTCTACAAGAAAGGACAAAAGTCCTCATGTGAGAATAACAGGGGAATAAGTCTAACTAATATAGTATCTAAAATATTGGCCTCAATAATACTCCAACGCTTAACGAAAGCTTGTGATGAGCAGACTAGAGAAAACCAGGCTGATTTGCGACCTGGACGTGGCTGTATAGACCACATTTTCACACTACGACAGGTCCTGGAACACAGACACACATCTAGGCGTCCGACAACAGTTGTCTTCCTGGACCTTAAGGCGGCACTCGACTCAGTGGACCGTGAGGTTCTGTGGCAGTCTGTCATTGAAAGGTGTACCAAAGAAGTACATTAACCTTATACAACCTCTCTACTCGAACATCACTGGTCGAGTGAGAGCTTATGGCGAACTGTCACCGGAGTTTTTTTACTTCAAGTGGTGTCCGTCAGGGATGTCCACTCTCTCCATTCTCGTTTAACTTTGTTGTGGACATGCTTTGAGAGTTAACATTATCCTCGTCAGATTTTTCAGGGGTGTACCTTCTACCAGGTGGCTCGCTTATTGACCTAGAATATGCCGATGACAGTTCTATTCGGTGAAGACGCTGACAAAATGCAGTCTCTGTGCTAATGTGGTATGGCAACATGAACTGATGTACTTACGTACGAAGTTCTACGTTGTAACTGACTAGCTGAATGACTCGAATACTGCTGGTCTAGTGAGAGCTTATGGCGCACTGTCAAAGCAGTTCTTTGCTTCAACTGATGTTTGTCAAGGTTATCCACTTTCTCCATTCTTATTCAACTTTTTCATAGAAAACCTGTTAGAGTTAACACTATCTTCATTTGCATTTTGAGCAATTGATCTTTTACCGGTAGATTCACTTGTTGACATAGTTTTACTTGGTCATAAGCGTCTTCGAAGCCTTACCCGTATTTCCTGGTACCATCGAGTAAGCAATGCTGTTTTCAGGAAAAGGGTGCTAGGTAAGGATGGCAAATCAATAGATTAAGTGGTGAATCGTGATCAATTGAGGTGGTTGGGTTATGTATTACGAATGCCCGTCCACCGACTATCTTGACGGGCGATGCTGTCTGGCGCAGGATAGGCTGGAAGAAAGCTAGAAATGGCCAAACCTAATCATGGTGCTGGTTCACAAAGTCGTTTACAATCGTTATGAGCTATGCTAATACATGCGGAACTTGTCGGGTCCGCGTGATAATCATTGCCGGTAGTTAGAGGCTGTCTGAAATTGCTCAAAATCGTTTCTAACAGCACATGGACATCCATTTTCTGTCTACTCTCAAATTCATCGTGATGTTTCTTTTTTTCACTGACTTATACATTATTATTTTTTCTAATTACCACTAATACTGCTATTACTTCCACTAATCTGGCATTGGGCCTAAAAGTTTCATCTCTCTGTTCCAATGGAGCTTTTGAACTTGAATTGATATGCGTACGTGCCAAGTTATCTGTTGGATTGACAGAAAACGCATCATATTGTTCGTGAAAAATAAAAAGTTACGACAAGCAGTCGATCAAGTTAGCTAAGGAATTAGTTTGTGTGAACAGACGTTACTCCAACGTAACGTGTATTCTATGATGCCATATCATAAATTGACAGATTTACTTTTCTACCGTTTGTCCTTTTGTTGGTACGAGGCCTTGAACGACATGACTCAAAATCGTTCTCAATGGCGCACGTGCATCCACCCTTTGTGTTCTCTTAAATTCTAACCTACTGAATTTCTCATCATCTATATCTTTCTCCTTCTAAGTTCATCTCACTGAATTATACTTCTCGAATCATATCTTCGCTGCCTAATCTTCTCCTTTACTGCTAATACTTCTACTATCACTATCACTCTTGGATTTGAATTGACAGTTGCGTCTCTGTGCTGATGTGGTATTGGCAACCTGAACTTGTGTACTGATGTACGAAGTTCTACGTTGTAACTGACTGTTAGCAAGGAATGTCCAGTATAATAACTCTACTCCTATCACAAATGGTGTCCCAAGATGATCTAATTCGTCATATAATGAAATACGTTAAGTTAAAATCTTTTTCCTTATTTCCGTAGGTAGTGAGACTTCCATTACAACCTTACTGACTTTAGTTGTAACTTGATGACATTGTGGAGTTAATCGTACAACTAACTACTCAGATTATCGAACATCTTGACTACAAACATAAATTACGAATAGTTCTCAAATTTGTCCTACCTTATTTTCATTTATTACCACTCTACTAATCTAAGTTATATTCGGACATAATGACTTTTTGTTTACCAATCACTCTTAATTAGTTCCTGATATACACTTTATTACTGAGGTAAGTTTCAGCTAAATAAGCAATCTAGATGTATGTTTGTTCTTTTATTTACTGACTACGTTCGATCTGTGTCCATGTTTTATCACCTGGCTGCACCTGCGTAGATAGAGTACATATTGTTAGTCGTTCATATCAAATTTATTTTTAAATCTTCCTAATAGGTTGTCACATTGGCAGTGTATATTTACTTCATAGCTTCACTTGTTGGTCGTCAGTTTATAATCGATAGCTCGCGAACAAATTCACAAGATCTCTACTTCCCGTTCTTCACGTTCTTAGAATTCATTGTTTATATGGGCTTGTTAAAGGTAAGCAGTACCATTATTCTACTTTAGTAATGCTGGATGTTGTTAGTCCTGTTGTTTCGTAAGATCAGTTAAGTGATCTCATTGCCTAACTAGTTTATAAATGTTCTAAAACATAGTGATTAATTCACTCGGAAAATAAGTAGTTTGATGTAAAGCTAGAGGCTAATTATTTTTAGCAGTATAGTTTAGTCTATTTGTTAGGGATATGTAGTAGCGAAAAGAAAATATGATTGGTCATGGAGTGTGGACGAGCAGGCTACAGTCGACCGACTATTAAATATGTGATTCCATTTCATTTATTGATTTGTAACTCCGGATCCACTGTGACTTCTGGGGACTGTTGTGGAATAAAATATTATCTATGACTAACTGTGGCTCTATTTTGATCGTGAATCGTATATTTGGTTTGATGTAATTTAGTCTCAGTGTATTATGTCATCGATAATATGTATTTAACGTGAAAAACAAGGGTTTTACACTTGACTCAGCAATACGATTCTTGTTAACTGTCAAATATTTCACTATGCATTGATTTATCAGTTTCGCATGAATGTTATCTCGTTAAACTAATTAACAAAGATGAACGGTTCGTATTTTCTACAGATCTTAAATATAAATTTAATCGTATAATTATTAAACGTGATTGTTGATGTACTATACTGAGAATCGACGATTCATTGTAATTGTTAAATCTAAAGGGAATACAGTAAACTCATCTTGTTAAAAAGCTTGTACACAAATATCCTACATCTGCTTCTAAGCATCAGTAAATAATGAATCATTTATTTTTTTTTCTTATGTCAGTGAGTTTAACAGGTTTATATTTAAACAGAACAAAATAAAAAAGTTCATAGTACCCCTTCAATATCAATAAATTGGTAACTTGATCAGTTAATTGTTTATTTTCTTAACAATATTTTGTTTCGCATAATTTACCACATTGTTTGCTACTATATGTAAAGTTATATTGAAAATTCAAACTCTACGTCTAATAAATGAGCTAACTGTTGGTGTACAATTCCTTCATTATTTAATTAAACTGTACCCTTGTAAATCGATTTATTTTTTATTAAGTAGTTTATGATATTCATTTTTCATGGCATCAATCTGTTTGGTGTTCTCCTTATATCATGGCATAATTGATTTGTGTTATAATTTTTCAACTACAATAATCTTAACTGCTTGTACTATCATGTTAATATGTAGATTTAAGTTGGTTTTCTACCTAAAATTTCCACAAAAATGAAAAGTTTATTCTGCTTCTGTTGTATAGGTTGCTGAAACACTAGTTAATCCTATGGGAGAAAATGACGAAGATATTGATATAAATGAGGTGATAGACTTTAACTGGAAAGTAAGTATTGGGTGCAAACGGTTTGATTTCGTCGAACGTTTATGGATTTATTCGATTTGGCTAACGTGATACCTTTCAATATCAACTATTATTAAACCATATTTCATCAACTGTGCAAATGCTTATAGTCATCTTTAAGTCTGCAATTAGCTGTAATGCAAGTAATGATAGTTATTTCAATGTCTAGTCATCATAAAGTTCTATTAGTCGTAAAGTTACTAGATATAGACCGTACATGAGCAGAGATGTGTTGGTAATTGAACGTGAACGATTTATGTGCAGTAGTATTTGAGCCTAACTTTGTTTCGTAGCTCTTTTGTGTATGAGTACAAGTGTTGACATTTTTCTCAGAATTTTCATTAATCCAAGTAAAATGTAGCTTATAATATCTGGAATACAAACGTGCATTAGATTTTGTATTACGTTTTGTTTTATAAGTTTCTTATTTTTCAAAACAATATGGCCGTTCATTGTTTTAGTGCCATGGATACTTATTCGACTAATATGGACCCAGTGCTAAGAAGTCATTTTCCATGTTTTCTGTAGACTGGATGGTGCATTGTCGATGGAATGAAAACAAGCGCTCCTGATATTGTACGAGATTTCTACTGGCAGCAGTCCATCGTCGAATTACCCCACACACAGGAATCGAAACGTTTAGCTTCTCGCCCATTTAGAGGATCAACATACAACATAAAGTAAACTATAGTCTTCATTTAAATATTTCTTTATATTATGCAAATATATGTCTATACATGATTATCGGGAAATTTAAATACGCTCCTCTGTTTCCACTATCATTTTGTATGCAACGTTCTCAATTTGTGTTAATTCATTGCTACGTACAAATATCTACTATGATTCAAATTGATCAATAGCTTTATTATCCGGTGTTCTTATTTCGTCTGCATTTATATAACTTATTTATGTTTCTTATAGCATTCCTTTCATTCCTGATATGCTCGGGTCTGCGCTATCCCTATCACTAATCGGTCATTCACAAGTAAGTTAATGATTAATTATGTTATCCGTATGATCCAAGTTCTGATCATTTTTTTGTTGAGACAGTTTCCCAGGCAAAAAGTATTTCTACTCAGTCTATATTGTTAGGGTCAAACACCAAATGCTACTATTGGCAGTATCGAAGACACGTGTAAGTATCCCGGAAAAGGTAAGGAGCCAAGTTCTATTATCAGCCCAAACAGTTGTAGCAGTAGTTAGAATATTTTGATCAAGACTTCAACTAGCATTCAGTTACCCTGAATATTAGTTCGAAATAAACCCCCAGTGAACAGCGAATTCGGGAAAAGCAGTTAGTTTTCAAACCTTGGATTAGATTCTTCAATCAAATATTCACTCTTCGCCAAGGCTTACTTGCCGACTGTCTGCTCTTAGTGGCTCTTGTTAAATCCGAAGAAGGGCTCACCAGATTAGTGGCTCGCGACTCGACTTAAGTATGCAATGAAATAAATCTTCCTTTCCATTTCCATATATTGTACTTGAGTTAACCCCGTTTGTGCGACAGCGGTAATAAGAAGTCAAATATGTTCTCCAGGATGAATTTATTTCATGCATTCATTTAAGCAAACAGACGTGAGAATGAAAAGCGTTCAAGCAAAATGCAGCGAATCGGAGAAGGGAGTAAGCCAACTCTCATGCGCTGAAAGATGACCAAGTATTTATAATCAGGTAACAAAGGGCTAGACATGCGATGTTCGAGTAAGCATGCACACGCACAATCAAATATACAATAGTCGATAATGTTATTAATTTATTACAAATATAAAAAATGGTTGACACTATTATCGAATAATTCAACCGTCTAAAGTTATTATTATGAACGAATGGTGAAGTGATACATGCTTTACCTGGATTTTATGAACCGAAGGAGAGTTTGACCTCTTAGACCAAGAGATTTTTTGGCAGTTTGTCGTCAAAAGACGACGACCTGTAGATCCTACTGCTACTACCGGTTCCAAGCCCGGATAAAGGAGGAGGGTTGAGATGTGGGTTGGCGACCCCATCGCGAAAAAAACAAACTTGTCAAAAAAGCTAACAAGTTAAAATAATTCAAACCATATAAACTCTGCTCTAGGAGTTAGTAGGTCTATGACGTCTCATGATGAAAGCCGAGTTCCTTCGGAAATCATGAAATCGATGCTTCTTATGACAACCAGAAACCTTCCATGGTGTGGGCAGCCAGGAAGTAATATCCGCCCTCACACTCATAAAAGCACACGATATCGAATTGGTCACAATCAAGTCCTCTCTTCACCTAACAAATCTGTTATGTCCTCGATCAATCCTTCTTTCGATCGTTTATCAGCTCGCGCCACTGAAGCTAACGGTTTGAGCTCACAAAACATTATTCTTGTTCTCTTGAAACCCTGGACATATGTTTCGTATGCCTAACCACCGACCACCTCGTCGAGCTGTCTTGTCGTTTAGGAGTATGTTGGATAAAAGCTAAGGGAGGCCAGATCAAAACAAGTCAAGTGGACTTTCGGGGACGTTAGATCCCCACAATCACTTAATAAAGTACCTAATTTTGGATTTTATCCATGGGCTGATAAGTTGACCTTGAGATTATATTTCGCACCAGGAAAATCCTTGGCTGTGATTAGTTGATGTGTTGTTTTAGTACGTTGTTTTTGTGGCGTATAAATAGACACGATTTGTATGCTTGAGATCATTAAATTTTCTAGGTGCTTGTAGAATGCACTTTATACGCTATATCAAGACTGTTTCTTCAGTTAGTTGGGGCAGCGGATAAGAGCAGCCTATCGTGTCACTGGTTCATTGTGTCGTTCTCGTTTATCGACTAAGGTGAACTCGTAATAGTTTCAAGCTTATCAATCTGATGAACATAACTTGACTGAGTCATGTCGGTTAGTGTTGACTACCTGGCTGGGGCCCTCGATATGATAATAATCGATGGTTAGAGATCCTGAATGGTGTATTTACGTACGAAGTTTCACGTTGCTGTTGATGATGATGTCGAAAGACCTACCCAAATTGCACATTCACTCTTCTGGAACAATATTTCCCGTCTTATCTCTTTCCTTTATTGGTACTACCCCTATAATTTTACGAAGAAAATAGTGGACCTAGTATTCTTATGGTATTTATAGTTAACTCATTCATTAGTCACGTTTATTTCATCACTTGGTCGGTTTCAGATAAGCATTACTTGAAGCTAGTATAATATATCTCTAAAATGTTTCAGTTTCTGTTAATTTTGAGTTTTTCTTACGACACTAACATACGAGCACTCACATAGCCCGTGACAGCATATTTTTGTCAAATGCTATGAAGTTAAACAAGTGAATATGCTTATGTTTAAAAGATTTTCGATTTAGAATTTTGTACCACTTTCCTGTAGAGGTCAGTGTTTATACATAATAAAGACTAACCATTCATTTCTTCTAACTTTTTTAGGATATAGCGAATTCGCGTCATTTAATTCGAAACAGTACCATAACTATTCCTACTAGATTGATCCCAGCTGAAAGTGTTCCTCCCAATGAAGCCGATAATACGTCGAGATCGAATGTTTCTGACGATCATACGACCACAGATACTGCGTTTTTAAGCGCCACTCCTAATACTCCAGCAGTAAACCGACTTCTTCATGAACCAATAAAAGAGGAAGATGAAGAACATGAAGATGATGATCATTCTTACAGCAGGCTAAAAACAAGTGCATATGAATGAGTAACATGTGATATTTGTGTCATCTTATTGAAGAGGTATTTATGTTATACAAGAAACCCTAACTGTAATCCCATGAAGTAATTCATATCTTATTGTGCATAATCGATCAAATAATTCTGTAGTGTGAACGTTTATAACATTTTTTATTGGGGTTAAAATTACGGAAAAACATTTAGCTTATATTTATGGGCTTCCCGCTGTCTAGATATTGTAAAAATTCCCTTATGTCTATTTATTATAGCCAACCGGAAGTTTCATCAACCGTTTAAATTGTATCTACATAAACCAGTAAGCGATGTTGTTGTTAGGAAACGAGCACTAGGTAGGGATGGGAAATCAATAGATGAAGTATTGCAGCTTCATCAGTTGAGGTGGTTTGGACATGTGTTACGTGTAGGAGTATGTTGGAATGAGGCTACGGTGGACAGACCAAAACATGGCACAAATCCATGAATTCAGTGACAAGTGAGCTGAGTCATGTTGGTAGAAGTAGGCTATCACCTGGTTGGGGTCCGCGAGACGAAAGTTACCGATGGTTAGAGACCTTGAACGACATGGATCAAAATCGTTTGCAATGGCGCACGTGCATCCACTCTTCGTGTTCTCTTTAGTTCTAACCTTCTGAATTCGTCATCATCTCCACATTACTCTTACTACATTTATCTCACTGAATTATACTTCTCGAATCATATCTTCGCTGCCTAATCTTCTTCATTACTGCTAATACTTCTACTATCACTATCACTCTTGGATTTGAATTGACAGTTGCGTCTCTGTGCTGATGTGGTATTGGCAACGTGAACTGACGTAAGTACATATGAAGTTGTGCGTTGTATCTGTCAGTCTGTCTCCATAAGCAGACATCATAAGCAACAACCTACTGTAGGAAAAGCAAACCAGATTCATGTAAAAGAAGAAATCCCCGACCGTAGCTGCTACCTTGACGTGGTGGTCGGGCTTGCCTATCGTGATGATCCGACCGAGCTATATTCGCTGGAACATGTTCCTGAAGGTTCTACCATACCAGGCTGGTCGATTGGAGAACGTGAGACTAAAAGCAGATACTCAAGGTCTGAGGGCGAAGTCGTACTGCTGACTGCAGAGGGGTGTGACAGCAGTAAGGTGTTTCCCTCGGACAACCAGCATCTGCAGCGATGCTGCCTTCTCACAAGGAAGGAAGGGTTAAAAAATGTCGGCCCTAAAAATGTCACACCTCCCCTACCTCACGGATTTCCGTCTCCTTGTGTAAGGGTGCCAACTAAGGGCCTTTAAGAACGGAGCTAATCCACAAAAATCCTTTCATAAAAAGGCCGTGCGTGACCGGCCACAAGCAGTTGTCGCTTGGGCTCTGCGGTCACGCACCCAGGTCTCCAAAGACAATACTAATCTATATTTCTTTTCAGGTCCCTCATGAAACAACCTTCCACGGTATGGGCAGCCGGGAAGTGACAACCGCCCTCATACCCGTAACAGCACGAGAGACCAATCTGGTCAAAATCAAATCCTCCCTACACCCACACATACCTCTCTTATCTCCACAACGAACTCTACTCACACTCCCTTTTCTCACTGCACCGCTAATGCAGACGAAGCGAGATCACGAAACGTCGTTCCTGGTCTCTTGAAACCCCGTCCTAGACTACATGTTGGAGCTCTTAATGTACGGATATTGTGTCAAATAGGGCAACAGGCATCATTACCTAGGACTTTAGAAACTCGTGCCATCGATGTATGCTGCGTCTCGGAAACGTGCATACAGGATCCTAGTAAAGTCATTAACCTGATTTCGCCTTGTCAAAAATAAGAAGCAGCTCGATTTACCCTTCGTGTATCTGGAAGCCCTGATGCTGCTTCCAGGGGTCTTGCTGGCGTAGGCATAGCATTGAGTCCTAGGGCAGGATTATCTCTCCTAGACTGGATCCCAGTAGATAGTCGTTTGTGCGCTGTCCGACTAAACGGGACAGTAAGGACTCGTAAGGGTAGGGACACTCGCCGTCGCCTCTTCGTCATATCTGCCTATGCCCCCACTGACTGCAGTGCAGACGAGGTGAAAGATGAGTTTTACAGAAAGCTTTCGGACCTCCTCCAAAAAGCTAGGCGCTCTGATATAGTAATAATGGCTGGTGACTTTAATGCGCAAGCAGGTAGACTAGGTGAAAAGGAAAGACATCTAGGTGGATGTTATGGTGTCGTGGCTCAGAGGACAGACAATGGCGACCGTCTGTTGCAACTATGCTCAGATAACCGCCTATTCTTAACGAACACCAACTTTAGGCATAAGGAAAAGCATCTGTTGACCTGGCGACCCCCAAAGTCGTCTCAATGTTGGACTCAACTAGACCACATCGCCATCAGCCATCGATGGAGGGGTTCGATAGAAGACTGTCGCTCGTTTTAGGGCACATATTTAGATTCAGATCATGCTCTAGTGCGAGCGCGTATCTGTTTGAGGCTTACTGGACGTAGGAAAGACACCGCAAGGAAGCCTCTTAGGGTTTTACTTAGTGATAACACAGCTAATTATATATTTCACGAGCAACTAGAGAGTTAGGCTTTTACTTAACGATAATCAAACTAAGAATAGATTTCAGGAATAAAAAGAAAGACAATCAGGCGATCATTTAAGCGATTCCCATCCAGAAGCAGGTTGGAATGATATCAAAAAGGCTGAGGAAACAGCAGTGATATCTTCTAGTAAGGTAAACCTTGAGGCTAGGATGAAGCCGTGGATCTCAGTAGCATCTACCGAACTGATGGATGCTCGGAAACTCATCCCGCCTGGGTCTGAGGAGCGGAGTCAGCTTAGGTGCTGGCTGATAAAAAGCTTAAGCGACGACCGTGAACAGTGGTGGGTGGCGAAATCAAGAGAAATGGAAAAGGCAGCGTCAGTAGGCAACTATTCAAACTGATCAAGGAAACCGGTATTGGGAACTGGAGGTAATCCCATGCGACCGGTCTCAATCTCTGATTGTCCCAATCTATAAGAAAGGACAAAAGTCCTCTTGCGACAATCACAGGGAAATAAGTCTAACTAATATAGTATCTAAAATATTGGCCTCAATAATACTCCAACGCTTAACGAAAGCTTGTGATGAGCAGAGTAGAGAAAACCAGACTGATTTGCGACCTGGACGTGGCTGTATAGTCCACATTTTCACACTACGACAGGTCCTGGAACACAGACACACATCTAGGCGTCCGACAACAGTTGTCTTCCTGGACCTTAAGGCGGCACTCGACTCAGTGGACCGTGAGGTTCTGTGGCAGTCTGTCATTGAAAGGTGTACCAAAGAAGCACATTAACCTTATACAACCTCTCTACTCGTACACCACTAGTCGAGTGAGGGCTTATGGCGAACTGTCACCGGAGTTTTTTTACTTCAAGTGGTGTCCGTCATGGCTGTCTACTCTCTCCTTTCTTGTCTAATTATATCATAGACATGCTCCTAGATATATCCATATCCTTGTCTGCATTTTCGAGAGTAGACCCTCTACCAGGTGGCTCGCTTATTGACTTAGAATATCCAGATGACATAGTCCTACTTGGTGAAGACGCTTACAAAGTGCAGTCTTCTGATTACCCTAAACAACAATGGAAGCATGTTCGGGGTGCGGTTCTCATCCTCGAAATGCAAAATTTTGCTTCAAGACTGGGTCCCATCGGCACCTGAACTAGTGATAGGGAGTGAAGTAGTCGAGCGTGTAGACCGCTTCATTTATCTGGGGAGTCGCATCAGTGCGGATGGCCTGTTGACTGACGAAATCTCAGCACGGATACAGAAGGCTCAATTGGCTTTTGCCAACCTGCATTACTTATGGCGTAGGCGAATCCTAATTAAGACTTCGTGTAACGTTGCAACGGGAAGAATATGTCATTTAATCGTTCAAATTGTCTCTCAGTCATCTTTTTTACTAGTCGATGGATGCTTAGTAATCCATGGACCAGATGACCGTCCGCAGAAAATAAAGAAATGGTAAAGTTAGTGCTACTGAAATCACCGAGAGAGCAAGCAACGGTAAGTATTAATTGATGAAGAAGCATGGAGATCACGCCTACAGATGTAGGGGGTTATGAAAACTCAGTGATTCATAGATATGTGTAACTAAATTCCCAATTTTAGTGTTGAATTTTCTGTAAGTGTTTCCAGCACTCAAAAGTTTTTCAGCTAAGATATAGGCATCATGTCTTAACACCTTAAAATCAATTAATCAGCCGCATATTCAGACTGAATCAGATCAATGTAAATGTGTTTTTGAGTGCTTAACTGGTCATATCGATGAATGCACATAAGAAACTTATATCATATGATCTGATTAATAATTCAAAGAGCACGTTACACTGCATGGATTACCTTTATCAAGCCTATTTGGACTGATAAAAATAAGGTGAATATCAATTATATATGCCAATCTGATAAATCTCAAAAGCATTTGTATCCATACGTAATCAACTCGATTTGCATAAGGTAAGTAGTATTTATTCTGTAATCTGCCTACTTCAAACGACGTTTATCTTTTTTCAGGTAAAACTTTATTTCTCAACGGTGTGTGAGCTATGCTTAAGTTTGACCTCGAATTTACTGCTTATTAATGACTGAATTTTATTTTGTAGTATAGTGATCGGATCTTCTAAGAGTATCTTGACAGCAACAATGTGTTGTCGTTTGATATATGTTTTCGAGGTCTTACAAAGTTCTCTGAATGCAAAGTTGTGAAACTTGCTGGAAGTCAGCAAGACTCACACAGACAAATAACCTTGTATGTGTTAACTATGTAAACACGTACGTCCAGGTAGACGTTTATGTATTCAGTAACTCAGATTACATATTTCTGCAGTGGAGAAAGTTTAACTATAATGTTTCAAGACTTGAATGATAGTTCATTATCACATCGTTTAAGATACGCACAGAAAAAACATCCGATCCGGTAAGGTTGTTTCCCTTGTTTGTTAGCCAACCAATTTTAATTTCACGATATAAGGATACATGGGCACGTTCTGTCATCTGGAAGAGCATTTACTGGTGCTTCTGCACGTATGGTGAGCGGTAAGGAGCACTACAACATGCACTTAATTAGCCTTTCCCATCTCCAGATGTTACCTCCATGAAGGTGTTTGAATACCACTAATCTTTCTATTCATAAAATGTTCATGTGACTTCTAACTCATTGCCGACTTATTGTTTCAGTTTCGGTCTTTGCTGCCATAATCATACTAATCATTCTTGAAAACTAAACTTCATTCATGCAATCAATACGAATGATCAAACGATTCTTACGCGCAATATTGCAC